GCTTCCTCATAGACGCTAACGAGTGAAGCTCAAGACAAACCTCAAGCTGCCTTAACTCTGATTTGTATAAAACAAATCCCCAAATCCCATGCAGCCGGAATGAGCTGAATGTGCAGCTGACACGATGCTTCCTGGAGCGAAGTCGGCATTTTCATTCACTTTCAATTCATTCATTCTCATTTCAATTTTTGGAAGACCTTTGTTTTTGAATATCAAAGGGTGTCAGCTGGGCTGTGCGAAGCCGAAGCACCTCCAGTCTGCATTGGGATCCTGCCAATGTCCTCTGTTTTACAGTCAGATAGTTCCCTATTTCTTGTGAGCCTTTGCCTCTCTCCAAATGTCTATCTAGTTTACTGATTGACTTTGTATTTGCTGTTAGTTATAGTTCTCCCTGTTGTCTTTAAGAAGGTTAACTTTCTAATGCTCAGGTTTTGGTAGGGCCATTAATAGGTGGGCTAGGAATGTTACAGACCCATCTTTGTATTCCAGATATAAAGGCATATGTGCAAATACAATAGCAGCTTCTTGTCCAGCTAGAATCTAAAATGTGGGGTTTTATTGGAATATATTAATCATTGGATATTTTATACACTATTCTGTGGGACCTGTGGCTACAGATACCTGCTTGAATTGAGAAAATACCTGGCAGGATCTCTCCTGCCTAACAAAATCATCAAAATTATGTCCCAAATAAGATGATCAGAAAACTTACACCTGCCAAAGGTTTCTGAGCATGTGGTTTGATGCAACCAATTCTGAAGCTGGGCTAGGAGACCGTGATTCCTTACAACCCAATCTGCAGGTCCACCATCTCATTTGGGCCAGAGCTGCAAGTTCACGGGAGTGGTTGGGTGGAAAACTTCTCTCGGGAAAACAACTAGATAACCTTGCCTTTGATCGTGGTTGGTTTAAGCTGCCATGGAGCTTCCTCCTTGGTTTGTTAGATAGGTGTGAAACAGGTGCTTTCCAGAGGGAAAGCCTGTCAGTCTAAGAGATCCCAGAGATTGAATGTGCCCTTTTTCCTGCTTCGGAGCAGCAAAATTGGAATAGCTTTAAACTTGGAATTTCCTTTTTTCCTTTGGGGTTGTGTGTTGTGGGGTTTTTTTTTTTTTTTTTTTTTTTTTTTTCTTGCAACACCCCTCCCAAACGAGAAGGATTTTTCTACTTGTGCTGATGGGATGAGGTGTTGATGCCAAGATCAGCCCATACATGCGCGTCTGGCTAAGCAAGAGGCGTATGGTGTACGTGCTGCAGGTAATTATGAATGTTGCCTTCAGGTTTATTGCCCCCACAGAGTTTTGCCTTGGGCATTTTTTTGCAGTGAGCTCTCAGGGCTCTTTCTAAGCACTCTGGTTGTCATGTTCTCTCCCTGTCAGGATCTTTGTGTGGGCCAGAAGAGGAGGAAATGAAGCCAAAGCTTTTGATGAGGAGCATTTGCAAAAGAATCTAAAGCTTTTCATGGCTCTGTCTTGGGTGGGGATTTGAGCTGGGCCTTGAGCTAGTGACAACAGCAAGAAGATTTATCTGATTTTTCCCAGTACCTGGGCGATGTTGTGATGTGAGTTGCCAGTTCCCAGTGTAACAAGATCCCGTGTGGGTAAGCAGCTGTGGAGTCAGTTCTGTTCCCCATGCAGCCACGTGATGTAATGAACGCATTGCTCAGCAATGTCTGGAGCAAGCAGGGCTGCAGAAATTCATCCCTGCAAGAGAAGAATGGCATTTTCTCCAGGAAAGTGTGTACAGGCACTGCAATAAAACTTGCTTTTTTTTTTTTTTTTAAACCATCCACTAAGACTAACAATCACTGAAATACTTGATTCACTCTGTTCTAGCCTCCATGGATCCTCTAGGTTCTGGTGAGCTGTGAAACCATGATTCCCAGGCTAATGAGTCGTCTTTCCTGTGGTGTCTCTCAGCGCTGTCTCTTTGCCTGAAAGCCAATAACTTCTCTAGCACATGAAGCTGTTCTGCGGGGTCTGTCTGATTGCGTGTCCAGCCTACTGCTTTTCTTCCGAGCCCGGCAGCTGGAGAGGAAACTCACACCCGCCCTCCGTATCTGCGCAGCGTCCTGTTTTGAGGAGGGCTACAGTTCCCACCCTGCGTGTTACCCCTGTTTGTCTGTGCTTTAACATGGCCTTTTGCTTAACATACAGCGACTCGTTCTCAGCCTTGAGATCTTCATTCACCTCTCCTGATTTCTCCAGCCCTGTCATTGATGGTTGGCTTTGACTAATATATTCACGCAACTAATCTGATGCAACCTTGGGATCAGCACTTGGTGAGTCCTGCCCAGCGGATCGAGGAGGAGGAGGAGGACAGCCTTCTGTCTGTGCCACTCTTCAGCTCTTCCCAGCTTTTAGGGTGCGGCTCCAGCTCTGGACACCCCAGCCTGCAAAAGGTGAGGATAACTCCTGCAGTGGGATCTCCTCCCATGGCTGTGCCTTCAGTGAGGAAGCGCTTTTGCGGAACTCTAGAGGGTTAAAACCCCATTTCTGAAACCAGTCTAGAGGAAAAGTCACATGCACGAGGGAGATTTTGCAAGTTGGTGCTTGCAGCTCAGGGTAATGAGAGGGAGCGTGGGGGTGCAGGCTGCTTTGCCTTCGGTGAGCCGTGCCTGGTTAGTCCGTAGTCCCCGGGAGACGCAGGGAAGAGAGTGACCTTTCCTGGAGAACAGGCTGGGGCTGTGGGATCGGAGACCTCCCCGCTCGGCGGTGGGACAGCACAGCGCCTGGGCAGTGCAGAGCGGGAGGTTGGCAGATAAAGGGCAGTGAGGAGGAGGGAGCTGAGCTGGCTCCCCAGCACCGGGAGGTGAGCTGGACCAGGTAAGCCTCTGACGGCTGCTCTGGAAATGAAGCAGAAGGATTTGCTGAATGTTTCTCTGCTGCTAGCTAGGGTTTGGAGGTGTCCTGAAAAGAAGGTCCATAGCCTGAAGGAGGCAAAATCACCAGAGAGACATTGGCATTGCATAAAGAATAAGAAGAGATGTAGAGAGACGCAGAGCCTGGGGAGTGCAGAGGATGAGAGGATACCCCTCGCGTTAGCACAGGAGGTGGCGGAGGAAGATTTGGGGGGGGGACCCATCTCCAAAACTGGGCAGTTGTTCTGCAGTAAAAGGCAATGGAGCCAAATGAGGTCTATGCTGCATGAAGAGGTAAAAGCAAAGCTGCTTTTGCCAACAAGCTTGTCCTGGCTGGGGAAGGTTGTTTCCCACCTGCAGCTCCCCGACGGGCTAGGGAAGGCTGAGCTGCCCTCATCCTGCTGCACCCTTTGCTGTCATCTCCCAGGGTCTGTGCTCCAGAGACACAAAATTCTCGACATCCAAGCCAGAGAGCCTTGATTCAAACTCTAACTTAATGTGACGGCAGCAACACCCGAGGTGATAAGTTTTAATTAGGTTTTCCTTTTGTTCCCTCTGTTTTTTCACTCTTAGCTTTGCTCTTTTGTGTGGGCTTTTCTGTCTTGTTTTTCATTTTGCCTTCTGTTTGACGCTGACCTGAAGGAATTGAAGGCAAAGGAGGGGAATGAGTGAGAAAATTCAGTCTGAATCCACATTTTGGTACTGGGAGATGTGCTCTGTAACACGTGGCTGCCCACGTTTGGCAAGGAAATCACACTGGAGAGCTGTGCTCAACGTACAGCAGAATTGCTCCTCCTGTGCTGGTGAAGAGTGGGTGCTGTGCCCATCCCGTGTACACATGTGCACGCTGCACACCTCTTGTGCAATGTGTACCATGGCTTGATTCCTTTAAGTGTAAGTTTCCAGCCCTCTGCAGGTTTTTTCTGTAATCAGAAGAACCTTTCGTGTTGTTTCTCTTGCCTCAGTTTCCTTTCCGGCAGTCCTTCATCTGGCAAATATCCTGGCTCTGTGCAGGGGGTTAATTGCAGTAACAACCATCAGTGAAAAATAAAGCAGTCCCCTTTGGAAGGAGAGCAGGTGAGCTCTGTGAGAGGCCCTTACACCAAGAGACAGCAAGAGGCTCCTGGTGCAAAAGTAAGACTGAGCAGAGGTTAAAAAGTAAATGACAGTTTTGGAGAGCCAGCGCAGATGCAGCTGAGCCACATGAGTGAAGTTTACTTTTCAGTTATCTTCCAGAGTCTTCCAAGCATTTGCTTTAATAACCACCCACAGGTCCTGGCAGTAGGTTAGAGACCTACGTCATCAGCATTTGTCTGGAAAACCCGTGGCCACGGTGCCTGCTGCGGGGAGGTGCCCCGTCGGCTTCTGGCACTGTCCGCGGTGGAGAGGAGAGGGACAAGGAAAGCAGAGGCCCTCAAAGGCTTCGCTGCTGCTGGGTGAGAGCTCCTGCTTGCCTCTGCCTGCAGTGAATGACTTTTTCTTCCTGATCTGCACTGCATCCTTCGTGCAGTGGTGAGTTATCCACTGCGTCAGTGAGTCGGGTGCATTGCTTCCAGGGAGGGGCATTTACACCAGCTCTATTTTCTTCTGAAGGTGCACGCTGAAAGCAATAGCAAAAAGCCTGTTGGCTTTGCAAGGAGAAATCCTGCCTATTCCTTGACTAATTGTTTACAAAATAAAATATTTAAGTATGTCGGGGTAATTTAAGGAATATTTAAAGATAACTTTTCTACCTATTAACAAAAAACCCCCCAACAACCCCCCCCCCAAAATGTAATTGCAGCAAAAGATGAGCCTGTGCGTACTGCACTGACGGCTGGCTAACACCTACCTGGTGATAACATCCACATGGAGTGGGGTCCAAAGAGCAGAGTACACCCAAGTGGTCTGTGCTGTTCCCCTTTATTTGCTGTCTCTGCAAGATGTGGGGTTTTCTTTTCCTCTTTTCAGGGCCAGAAAATGCCTCCTTGCTCATGGAAAGCAGGATCTCGAGGAAGTCATCAGTGGGAGTGTGAATGAGGATTTCACAATCTGCTCCCTGAGGAGGAGAGCAAGCCAGCTGCCTGCTGCCGTGGGGCTGAATCAGTGTTTCTCAGCAGTGAAAGACAAGGCAGATACACAAAGTGCTGAGTTTCTCACAATACGACGTAGAGTCCCTCAAGGAGAGACACCTTCAGCATGGCCCATAAAAGCCAGGCTGGTGGAATTGAGAAGAATGGGTCGCTTCCCTCCATCCTCTACTGTAAGAGTGATTTAAAGGAAGGATCCCTGCAGGGGGTGAAAGGTAAGCGAGCAGCTTGTTGACAATAAGGAGAAAGGCAGTACTGAGTGCAGTGCCCTTAAAATAACAGAAGACAGAGTTTTTTGAAGATGATCCTTAACAGCATCTCATTTGCAAAAGTAACTAAACATTATGGATGTTTCAGCATTTTGGGGATGGGATGGAGACACCTCGACTGTTTTGCAAAGCCTGATACACAGGAATGAATGGACATCCACCTATTGAAAACAGGACCCTGGAAGTCCTCTTCTCTTGGCCTTCAGAAGTCAAATTTTTGGGAAACTTGACTTCTGCTTTCCAAGTGACTCCCCTTCCCCAGTAACAATTTGCTGCCTCTCTGCAGCACTGCTTCTGAGACTGCCTGAGGTGCTGTGCAGAGACAGAAGGCAGTGCCATGGATGGGTGTTCTCAGCAAGACCTCCACACACCATTCAGCAGGGCACACTTTTTGCTTGCTCAGTTCATGGCACCTCCTTAGTGCTCAGTTTTTGCCTGGGTGAAGCAGCTCTTGTCCCTACAGCAGGCTCCAGCAAAAGTCAAGGAGCTGAGCCCCTCTGCAAATCTCTGGTATCTCAGCTTGGCACTTGACTTGCTAGACTTTGTGCGAGCAACTTGACCAAAGCCATGGAGAACAGCCGAGCTGAGCCCAAGGCTGAGGTATTTTTTATTCTTGTTTCATGCTCACCGCCTCCACTGCTCTGTGTCAGGAGGAGATAAACCTCAGCAAACAAACAGAATCTTGTTATCCTGGAGGTTTCAGATGCATCTACTTTTCTTTTTCTGACTCGATGCAGTCACGCCCTATTGTAATGCAATTGCCTCGTTTCACTTGGCATCTCCTGTTCCTGAGCAGTGAGGAGGTGATGAAGGTGGAGGACATGAGTGGGAGAGAAGGGAAAGGTGAGTGTACGCTGCATTTCAGCCAGCACAGCAGTCTGGGAGAGCACTGCGCAGGCAGTGTCAGCTGTAGCAGCCCCAGGGGACACCTGGCTGACCCCGGATCTGCAAAGGGGAAGGAAAGCTTGGCGAAACATTTCAGTGAAACAGGATCTCATCTGAACAAGTCACTTCCTTAGACCTGATCTCTTTCTCTTGATGTAGCACAGCTTGTGTAAACTCTAGATGAATGCCAGATGGGAAGCCTGGAGATCACAGCTCTCTTGTGCCACTCCAAGGCTGCTCTGCCTCAGCTCCGAGCAGCCTGCTCCTCAAATCTGGGACAGGCTGTCCTCACACTTTCTGGGCTCCTGACTGCAACCTCTCTAGGTTACATCTGTGATCCTAGTCCTAGCTGAAACTGGGAAGCTGAGAGCTTTGAGCAGAGAGCAGGAGGAGTCTTCCCAGGACACTGGAGGACCTATGGGGCTCGTGCTCCAGGGCAGCCCTGCCATGTCCCAGGAAATGTGGTTATTGGAAAACACTTTAATTTGATTGCTCAAGCTTTTTCTTGTGGTGGGTGGGGTGGGTAGGCAATGGGGGAACTCTCTAAGAGGTAGATAGCCTTTGCAATGCTAAGCAGCTTGAGTCCATTGTCCTTTCAGTTAGGGATCAGTGAGGCAAGTCTAGATCAGAGCATCATGTTATCTCTGACTGCTCACTCCTGGAATGCACTTGAGGTTTCCTCCCTTTTTGTAGGTTATTTCCTTACAGGGGATGTCAGACTGCTTCCAAAGCTCCTTGTGATGCTCTCTTGAAATGTCCAAGAGGGGATTCTGGATCCATTTAAAACACATCAGTGTGGTCTGCATTCCTCAGTCTTCCTTAGCTGCTGGGAGAAAAACCCGTGCCAGAGCTGTGCTCATGACTCCTTTGGGCTCTTGCAGAACCCCTCAATGGCCAGGTGCTCATGGTGCTCAGCATGGACAACAACTGCTCAGCCACCTCCTTTGACATGGAGCTTTGTGCAGAGAAACTGAAGGCTCTTGGGGTTCAGGTAAGCTCCTCACACGTTATGTCCCCTGGGGACCCTGTAGGAGTGAATGCTGGCTGGGGTAGCATCAGTGAATGACGCACCCACATCACAGGCAGTTGGTTTTTTTGGTTTTTTTTTTTTTTTTTTTTTTAGTTTGAGTGTCACTTGTTTGGGTTCAATTTCAGTCTATTCCCCATGGACTGCAAGTCAACTGTAGTCATCTTGGCTTAAACCTCTATGAAGAAACCCATTCAACATAGGTTCTAGTGGATTGCTTGAAAGTCACTCTATGGGATGGAGCACCCCTGGGACAATCTGTCTTGTCCTTTGTCATAAAGAAGTGCTTCTCTCTTGTGACTTTTCCTGCGCTTTCCAGGGAGCTATTACTCACTGCAAAGGAGGCAGGAACACAAGTTTTTGGTCTGTGGCAGCTGTATGGATGAGATTGGAGGCGCGCTCTGCAGGAGGGTGCTCTGGGACACAGCTTTTGCTTGCAGTGCCAGCCTTGCCCCATGATGACTGCCCAAGCTGGTTCTGATGGGATGAGGAGCCCCAAACTGGAGGGCAGCTCTATTTTTCTCTTTTCTCCCTGAGCAGGTGGCAGCGGGTCAGTGGGCGAGGTTAATCCAGGATGCTGTCCTGAAGCCTGAAGTGAGACGGTACATGTTCTACAACTCCAGGGTGTTCCAGATAGCCATTGCTGTGGTAAGGACAGCAGGGTCTCTTGCAGGCTTGCCATAGACATGCACTTACTGAGGCGCATCAAGACCTACACCTGGGGCTCTTGCGCCCAGGGAGGGAGAGAGGTTTGGGTAGGGAGGAGATACTGTTTTTCATACATCCTAGTGGTCTCCTTTGGAAAACCCAGTTCACAGAATTTCTGTAGATGGAGGGCAAGGCACCTTCTCCAACCCCTTGCTGGTAGTCCCACGGAAGCAGGCTGTCTGTGGCTGGATAACCAGCATATGCTGAGGTAGTAGTACCTACATCAGAGGATTTTTTTTGAAGTTGATTTTTAAAATCTGTAGATATTCTGGTCCTGATGTTGATTTAGACCAATGGACCAGTCATCTTTGGTTACTGAGGTGATTGTCTAGTCTTGTTTGATGTCTTCTGGTGAGAGAAGCTCCTCCAGAGACCCCAACCATTAGCATCTACTGTGCAACATGCCAAGGGTGTAATAAAGTCTGAATCCTTTGTTTTAGTTGCATTTATTTTTCTGGTTAGCCATTATACATGTCTTCTCCTTTCACTAATACTGTAGGAATTGGTGCTCAGTGTTTTGAGGGTTTTGGTGCCTGTTTAGTGCACGTGAGTTCTATTATTGCAAGATGATGCTGTGACATGCTGTGCTGTGCACATCCTGTTTGCTTCTAGGCAATCTCCTGCCCAAATGCATGCTCTCTGATGTAAAGGCCAAAGGAGTTCAGTTTTGCCTGCCTTTATGCAAAGGCCAAGTTTGTCAGTGCTTAACATAGTCCTTGAGCCCAGTGTCAGTGTCCACCATCTGAGCGCTGCTGTAATTGAGTAGTCTCTGCACCACCTTGAGTGCTCTGACATAGGAGCTTTCTAAATGCAGGGGCTGTTAGAAGTATTACCAATATGCCTCAGTGAGTGCATTTCTTATCTAAATGGAAGAACTGGATTGAAATCCTTCCTAGGTATGAATCATCATTAAAAATTCACTCTGTCTTTGATGAATGGTAATTTTTTATAGTAAACTAGGGCTCGCTCAGTCCTTCGAGTCCTTTTTTTCCCCCCAGTTTATTATTGGAAAGAACTACTGTCCTTTCTCACCCTCTGAAAATCTCGTGTGACTTAATTTATGGTAAGGTATTACCCCAGGAGAAAGGACCAGTAGTTTTCTTCTTGACTTTTCTCACTTTCATAGTTTTGTGAGTATCAGCAGTCTCTCTGGGTTTTTATAGGTTTTCTACATGTCTCTCTGGACAAACATTTACTCCACAGTCCAGCTGTGTTCCTTTGGACGCTACTGGGAGGCCAGCGTGCTAGTGACCCTGGCTGCTGTAGCAGTCACTGTAGTTGTGATACTGGTTATCGATTGTCACCAGAGGAAGGTAAGAGGAGGCTGCTTGTGTGCAGGCAGGCAGTGCATGGGGAGCAGGACTCCCTCCCACCAAAGTGCTGGCACACAGGTCATCTCCTAGATGCCTACGAAGAGCATAATTATCCGGGGAGGAAGGAATATTTTTACAGCAGGCTCAGAGATCAGGTTCAGGCAAGGGATGTTTTACAGCCAAGTTAGGTGTTGTAATGCCTAAAAAGTAGGTGTTGGAGCCCGGCAGGCTGGCTCTGAGCGCCTGCTGTCGCTGGAGATAAAGCAACCATTGCAGAGCGCGGTTCTCACTCCCACGGCTGGTGGGAAGCCACGGGGACTTGCCAGCAGAGCTGGCTCCTGCCCTGCTTCTGATGATGGTCCTTGCAGCCTCGGCTGCGTGCAGCCATTAATAGCATGGTTTATTTGAGTCGCTGTGGTGCTCTGGACCTTGCAACAGGTCCAGAACAAAAAGGCAGCTCCTAATCCATAGAAATTGCAATAAAATTATAAACTGAGGTAGTCTGGGCAGTAGAAGGAAACAGGGAGGTGACATTAGCATGAGAGGCAACCAGCCTGCAGCATCCACTGCTCGGTTGTTGTCAACTTTTTTTTGTAGGAATCACAGGAGTATGGAAATTTCTAACCAGTGATCTGAAGAATGGTATGGAAAGGCTAGATTCAAAATCCAGAGGGGTCTTCACACTGGTTTTAACGGAGTTTGGAGCAAGCCTCTAATGCCAGCTGTGCAATGATTCTTCCAAATGGAAACCTGGCAAATGTGCGGGTGCACAGAGGTTCAGGAAAGGATTCTTTCACTTGGGGACTGCTGGGGAGGGAAGAGGCAACATGATACTGGAAGTTGATTCCACTTCAAACATCTTGTCTATAAGAGAAATAATCCTAAGTGAGATTTCTGGCTGCAAAGACATCCACTAGCAGTGGCTGGTGACAATCCTGCCTGACTGCAGACTGCTTTTGTCACTGCTTTCTTGTTAGAGACATGGTTATTTGGAATTATCCAGCTGCAGGTTGTAGCTGTAGGCTGGCCCAACTTTTGCTGTAGAGCGTGTTAATTTTTCCTGCGTTCTTTAATAGATAAATATGAATACAGATGTGAGGCTGGCAGCTGTCAATGAAATCTTTATCAAACACAGTTTAATACTGGGGATTACAGATGCCTTGGATGGGCCACACAACATCCTACAAGTATCCTTTCTGTAGGGAATCATTTGTACCCCTCCTGGGTAGCTAATGGCGTGGAGGTATTTATTGATGTTACAGTCCATGAGGATCTCCAGAGGGTGGGATCTCTAGGTTTTGTTTTTTCTCATAACGATGTGAGGGATTTGGTAGTTTTTCTTCTTCTAGAAGTGGGGATTGAGATATGCCCAAATGCAATTGGAAATAACAAATCTAAAAGGTAAGTGGGATTAGTCCTTTGGGCAGACAGTCATTCCTGAAAGGGTATTATACTTACATGACAGTGGTGATTCTTATGAGCAGAGTGGTAGGAATGGGCCTCTGGCAAAAAAAATCCCAACCCAAAACAACACAGAGAGAACTGGAGTCCCCAACCCTGGGCTCATTTGCTGCTTTTCAGAGATACCTTTTCTGGACTGGACAAAGATGTAGGGGAAAGAACAGAGTTTTAAGACAGCACGAAAGTGTTAAAAGAAGGTGAGAGAGATGGTCTCCCAGATTTGCTGGGGGACCTCACACCACCCCGTATATATAGAGAGGCATGAAATAGGAATGGAGAGGGAACCAAGGCTGAAATACAGGGTCAGAGAAGGGGGCAGGGGGGCTGGCAGGGCTGAAGACATGTAGAATGAGGAGGAATCACTTAAGAACCTGCATTACACTTTTGTTCAGACCATCATAGTTTTGCACCTCGGTAAGTGAGGACTAATTCAGGGAACCTTCCCCTCTACCTACATGTCCCAGAGCTGCCTGAGAGCAGAAAACAACCCAAGGATTTACGATTTCTCAGTCTGCTCCATTATCAGATCTGTTTTAACTCTCTAGCTTTTACACTGTTCCTGAATCCCCTTGATGACAGCAGCTTGAGTAGATCTATGAGGGCAAACCTTTGGCTGCCCTTCTGGGGGGCTGCTGCTCTCAAAGCTGGGAGGACTCTCATCCCCAACACATTGCTCTTGGTAGACTCTTTGCAAACAGTGCCTCCATCCTGAAGACAAGTACCACATACAGTAAATTTTGTAAAAAAATAAATGGAATGGATCCCTAGAAACAAAGGAAAGAAAGAAGGACGGGGTTAGGGGAGCTAAGTCAATGCGACCCACCAGTTTATTTAGACATAAAATTAAGATGGGTGATAGGCAATGGCCCTGGGTTATTGCAGTCATCACTCCCCCAGGCTGCAGGAGGTGTGCGAGGAGGACTGGCTGCCCTCTGGGGCAATGTCCACCTTCCCTGCCACCCATCTTCTCTTCCCCTTTACCTTGAGGCCTTGCCTTAGAGCCTCTTGGCTTAAAATTAGCCCTGTGATGTGTTATTTGGTTCCTGACTGCGTCCTGAGTGTCCCATGGGTACCAGCTGCCTGAGGTCCATACCACGATCTGCATGGAGACAGAGGGCTGTGGAGGGGGAAGCATGGGAAGACCCCTTCCTTAACCCTGCCCATCCCAGCTGTGGTTTGTGCACTTCAGCCTGGAGCGCTGCCTCCAGTCCTTGTCAGCCCACATCACCGACCTGCAGAGGACACGAGAGGTAAGTGACAATGGGCACAGCCTGAGCTCCTGTGGTGCCAAGTGTGTGTCCACCCCTATGCCCCGGCTTTGGTAGGATGGAGATGGGCAAGGAGAACTGAGTGTTTGAATTTCTCATGGGCTTCCCCTGCTGTGAACTGGGAGCTGGACAGACTG